CCCCCCTCTCTCCCCTATTTGTTTTTTGGAGGGACTTGAAAAGCCAAAAGTACACATTCCCTTGACAGATTTCTTGAATATAATATGGCAAACAATTTCATTTACTTGAATTGATAATGGCAAACATATAGAACATTAATAAACCTTGCACATATATTGGCCTCAGCAGCTATAACAAATCCAAACTTTGTAATTCTTCAAAATTATTTCATTACATGTATTTCTCATAATAATTAATTACTAAAAGCTTAGTTTAAGTTTTCAAATTTGCTATAATAACTTGTAAGTTGATGTTAAAGTACGGATTTTTTTTCTCTCTTTTTATATGCTAAATAAATCAAATGACCCACCCACCAATAAAGACCCCGACATGAGCACATATTATATAGAGAAAGAAACTAAAGCAAATAAAGCTGTATCCAATAATAAACCGATGTCTGCATTACTGAAAGCAACTTGCAATATTATAAATCATAGGTACGGAGAGAAGTCATCAAATTTTTTTTGCCTTTAAATAGCGTTGTGAGTTCACGAGTTTGAACATACTATCATTATTACTATTATATACTCGTATGTATTTTTTTGGATTCAGGCCTATTATTTACCATCATGTTATAAGGCTTAGTATTCATTCCACAACTAGCAATTGAACATATCAATCCTCATGCCTGGCCAACCTAAGAGGCAATATCATTTCGCTTTCATTATAATGCTGCTGATTTATCGCCTGAACTTAATGCTGTATGGTGGTCCGGGCCCGGGCCTAAATGGGCTAAACGGGCCGGGCTAAACGGGCCTGGGCTTAGCGGTCCCGGGCTTCGTGGGCTCAACGGGTGGAACCAGCCCATGACGGGCCTAAGCCCATATGGTCCTGGGCTAAATGGGCCGGGCTCGTGGGCTTAGCGGCCCTAACGGGCTTTTTTTTTTAAATTTTTTTTGCTTAAGGCAATTTCTTGTAAACCATATATGTATGTATATATATAAATTGCTCTTATACATAGCTATATAAATATATGTAGTATATATAATATAGAAATCTAATTATTAAAGTGCTTGACGAAAAAGTAAAATAACAAAACAATAGTAAAACTAAATTGACATGCATAATAAATTAATAACAAAGTACAACATGAAGCATAAATACGTCTAATAATTTTAAAATAACACAAATTGTTGAAAAATCTTAAAGACGAATTTGCGGATAAATACCTTCAACACAATACATTATATGCCTCCTTAAAATGCCTGTAGTACACCCTGAACGAAAATTTAAGACTCTTCCACAGTTCTTGCACTTTAATATTTGGCCTTCTTCATTTTCTTCAAGCACTTCATAGTATTGCGAAACAAATAAGCGCACTCTTTCCGAGCGAGGCATGATTTAACTTGAAAATGAGATTGAGACTTGAAGTCTTGAAAATTGGAGATTGAGAGATTGAGAGAAATTTAGATTGAGAAATGAGTATTGAGTATTGAAATGAAGAAGAGGGAGGGGGGTACTTATAGTGTTAGAGAAGGTTAGTTTTGTAAATTGGAAAAAAAAAACGGCTATTTGTGCAATTAATATGACCGTTGGTGGTCATTGGGGGTGGGGCCCTCATTTTGAAAAATCTTGTTTTGTAGTATATATAGTACTACTTCTTCATGTATATATAATATATATAGTATACTAGTATAGTATACTATATATTGTATGTTATGTATATATATTCCCTTATATAATTTGTTGTAGTATATATTGTATGTTATGTATATATATTCCCTTATATATTTTCTTGTAGTATATATAGTATGTTATTTATATACATTCCCTTATATATTTTCTTGTAGTATATATTGCATGTTATGTATATACATTCCCTTATATAATTTGTTGTAGTATATATTGTAT